AAGTACTTATTTTAATATTTGAAAAAAAAATTAATATGTACTAGTGGAATAATCTGATATTGTAAAATGATTTTTTTTTATATGTTATGTACCAGATGAAGAATTAGTCATGTAACATCAATGGTTCCTCTTGTTGTGTTAGCTACTGTAAACATCAGTCTTAATAATATAAAAAATATATATATAAAAATTTACTTTCATAAATATTAAAAATATTATTTATTCTAATAGAACCTTTTAAATTATTTTTTTTAAAGTTGTTTTATTTTGAACCAAATTTCTAATTAAGAATAAATTTAATTTAAACTTATATTATCCTTTTCACATTACTGTAATTAGCAATTTAATAAATTTATACTATAATGTAAGTAATAATTTGATAATTACAAAAAATATACTAATACTCAAATCTAGATGAGCCTTGGCCACTCTGGTTGGCTTAGGTTATAGATAAATTAGTCTGAGCTTCTATTCTTTCTATAATATTTTAAAAGCAGAATTATACTCAATGCAAAATCTCAATTAAATATTCAATAAAGATAGAGGCATGTCCTCACTATTAATATTAAAAAAATAATAATAATTACAAAAAATATAAAAAGAAGTAGTCAAGTTTAATTTATCATCTAATGCAAATTTCTAATTTTTTAAAATTTACTAAAAAATTTATTATTATTTGCAAAACATAATAGAACTATAATGATTCATTATATTTATTAAAATGTGATTATAATATAGATGTTCTTTATAATTTTTTGCTTTTAATAAAATCATGTAATTACAGTTAGTATATACAAATAATCACAAGTATAATGTAATAAAAAAACTCAAATAGACTTTATTGTAAGCTAGTAATGCAGCATCACCGGTTTCCACATGTTCATTAATGAATTCTTTTAATCCATCAGATAATGGTTTGATTTTTAAGGTTCCTTTAACGTCAGACTATAAGTTTCTCTTTATTAATGCAGTTTTGATTGGCGAATTTAAAGCATCTAAAGATTCTATATCCAAGATGCCTGATAATAATAAGTCATTTGTGCGTAACATTACTTTTCCAAATGCTTTGCTGATCGTCTTCACGGTTTCATTTACTTCTTTCATCGAACTTAACTAATTATAATCAAATAA